GGGCTGTTCCCCTGCGTATTCTTATTCTGCTGATTTGAAATGTCAGTAGAAACAGCTGCAGAACACTAATTTTTTACGAGCAGCCTGCTTCCAGGGTTGCAGAACCTCTCATTTAATGGTTTATCTAGTCTAGTAACACCTTGTAACGTGACTATTCAATGAAGCCCTTTTCTGAAATTGAGAGTAATCATCCTTATTGTTTTACAGGCACCCGCTAAAAGAAAGATGCTCAAAGATATTTAATTAGAGATTTCACAGATATTCTGATTAGAGTTAAAAGCATTTTTAGACAGTCAGGGCTTGGTCTTTTAAAACCTACTACTACTGGATTTCATAGTGCACGTTGCAGATTTCTATGAGGGAAACATGCTGGCAATGTAATGAGCTTTTGAAGCAATTTCATCTTACGGTTTTAAAACTTTATATTATTTTTGTATGCGGCTTGTTCTAATTACTAATTCTAGATCAGATTCTGTTATTGAGTTACGTACTAAAGAATAAACTAATTCAAGTTGCAGAGTTTACATAAATGAGTTTAGGGTTTCTGTACACAAGGGCTCAATTCACAACCCGTAGCCCGGGTGAAGCCCACCAAAATGATTCACCTCGTCTGCGGTCTGCCCCTAGCTACCGTCTTTCCTGGGAGTTTCTTCACGTGCGTGGGACTGAGCTAGATGAACTATTGCAGCAGCAGCCAGATCCCAGCTCTGATCTTGCCCGGAGTCTTTTCTCATCTTACAAAGGGCAGATGTTCTCCAAGAAGAGGTGGCTTGACCTCATCCAAGAAACAGCCTGTCCAGCACCTTTCCTGCTGGCTTTTCGCCCCTGAACAGGCCAAATGTGTGAGCCCGAGCCTTGGAGGACGCTGGGGAACCTCTGATACCCTGAAGAAGCAGCAGAGCAAAGAGTTTGTGCCTCTTCCCTCTCTTGCCTCTGTTGCTGCAGAGCCACGCAGCCTGAACCAAAGAGAGGGTCCTGCTGCTGTAGGGCGGTGGAAATCTTAGCAGCGTAGCAGCAGCTTTGGGAAATGTTGCATCTCCCCGTGGTCCCTACGAGGTCTTCTGACTCTGCAGCGTGCTCTGCTCAAGCTGGTGGCTAAACGCCACGGCATTTGTATGGGGTTTCTTCTCCTAATCTTGTGGAACTTATTTCTAATCAGTGTAGTTGCTGTCATTTAAAGAATAAGGAATCCTATTTTTGCAGAAAAATCAATAGAATGTTCATTAGTTAATTTTGTGCCATTTGTAATGGCCGCTTTACTTTGAGCGTGTTATAAAGAACACGTGCAGCCCTCTGTAAATTTTTACTTTCAGCATCCCTCTCAGTATTTTCCATTGAATTAGCTCTGCAAAGTTTACCTCAGCAATCTTTTCACGACATAAAGCGCTACCGATGCCAACTGAAATCTGTAGATGGAGATAATTTATTAAACGCCTTACCTGTTTCGAGGTTTATATAGTATACCCTAGGCAGTTTTCTGACTTGAGTCACAAAGTGGTATTCAGCCCAAAGGCACTTGGTAAATGAGCTTGTCTTTATTCGTTATGCCGCTATGCCATGCCGCTCTGTAGGTGTAAAATGCAGGTCATTCACATAGTTGCACCTCTGGAGTTTTTACTTTGCGTAGAAGCCAGATGAAGGTGAAATGCACTTGGTTTCTGCGATGCCTGGGCAAAATCGTTCTAGGTTCTTGTACCCCTGTACGTCTGGATAGCAGGAGTAACGATTCTCGGCTTCCCTTGTAGAGCACTTTCAGAAATAGGTATGAAAACATACTTTATTGCACTCGGTAATCATTGTTGTGTTACAGTTCCCGCTGTTTTTGATGGCTTTGTTGCGTTGCGTTGTCTCCTGCAGCCTGTGCACGGCTGTCGAGCGTGCACGCGTGCCCTCTCCAGGGCCTCTCGGCCTCCGTGTGCAGCCTAGTCATCGAACATAAGCGTCGTGGGCGTTTTCCTACCCCTCGGCTATGCCGCAAACGAATGGAGTTTCCCCAGGTCAAATGGAAACTTAAGGAATTATGCGGCAGTAAAAGAAACAGCTGAAGCCGGGTGAGCTTTAGTCTTAGTCTTGACCTATTAGTCTTGAACTCTCAGGAGAATTTCCGGGTTCAGGTCGCTGATGTTTGAATGTCTAAATTGGCACTTTGGGCATTTTGCATACCGTGCAACTGGTTTCATTCCTGAACTCATTGCTGGGACAAAATTCCTATTAAAATAGCGGGAATTTTGCCTCCAAATCGTGGCGTGTGTTAGAAATGGTGCCCGTTTTAAGCGAACAAAACGTTCAGAAATCATAACTAGTGAATTCTGGTATGGTATCCAAGAACGCGTGAAAAACTGATGAGAAAAAATTGCTTGTGGCATGGATCCTGCCTTGTAAAACTCCTTGCTATGTTGATTTATTTGAGAGTATTACTTAGTGTTTTGGAGTTCTGCTATTGACACAGGAATGCATTTAAATTAATTTAAAACAGAAGCAAAAGATGATTAGTATTTGAGATAATTAAAACTTGCAAATAGATTTCCCTAGTAAATCTCTCTGGAGTTTTTTATAATTACACTGATGCCACAATACAGTAAATAAAAGTAAATCTTGGTTTTTCTGATTTTCAGAGGAGGAAAGCAAACTTGATGGCCACATCAGGAAGAATAAGATGATGAGATTTTTTTTTGCTTCTTTAATAGCAAGTTACCTGGAGGGTGGATGTCTAACAATGATAGCTTTTAGTCTTCCAAGCAAATGTGAAGACCGTTTCTCTAAAACAAAACAGAGTGGATTTCAGCAGGTAATCTCCTCTGAATTACATTATTGAAGAACTAAATCACAGAATGTCAGGGGGAAAGTTGTACCGTCACCTGCATTACGCTACAATCTGGGCAACGTCTTGCATTTTCAAGGATTTGCACCTCTTCAACATGCCCGGTCTAGCAAAGTATTTTTAGCTCTTGATGTGATCTTTCATCATCTCTTAGCACCCTAAGCACTGAAGCAGAGTTAGCAGATCCAATTCTGAATTTAAATTGGAGAGATCGGCCTGCCCTGTGCCGGTAGGGGTGGGACGGAGACGTGGGCGCTGAGTGCTGCTGCTGAGCGCCTGGTGTATTTGCAAATAAAGCTTTCCTGGGCCGAGATGGACGTCCTCAGAGGCCTAAAAGAGGCGATGGCTTTCTTCATTGCTGCAGTTCAAATCGCCCGTTGACGTTACAGGTGCTCCGTCTGATGCGATGGAGGAGCAGCTGTGCAAGTCTTCCCCAGAAACTCGATGAGTATCTTGGTTGCATCCAGCCTAGTCTCAGTTTTCTTCATGTATAAGGTGTTAGCACAGGCTTTTTATGAGAAGGGAAGGCTGTTAGGACTTGGCTGCCTCTTCCTCGTCTCTTCTTCCTCTTCCTGCACTGTTAGCGCAGCATAAGACGAGTAAGGACGATTAAAGGGAGAGGCCTTTCTTTTCACAGGCTGAGCAGGAGGAGGTAGCGGCCTGTGGGACCCATCGCGACCTCTTTTCACTGTACCCTTAAGTAAGGAGCGTGCAGAAATTAGACTAAAGTATTCTTACTCTTTTAGCGTCTGTAAAAACTGATACCACCAATGAAATTCTTCCACGGTACCTGTAATTTTTGGATCAGCTAAATGTTGTTTGTTGGAGCGTCGCTTTGCTCCCGTGAAACTGTGATTTATTCATTGAACGGTCCGTCCCACTGCTCATTGGAAGTTAACGTGGCAAAATCTGACGCTGTGCTGTGCGGTTGTGTAGCATTCATTACAATGATATAAAACACTATCCCAAGTCCTTTTCAATAAAGCTCTTTGTTTAGGCTATGTGTTTTGACTAAGCATTTCGGTGCATTGTTATTGCGTCAACAAAGTGTTCTGAAACACCACATAAGATGTAGTGAGTTGAAACAACTTTTGCAGCTATTCCGGTTACTGCAGTAAACTGCAAGCTCCCTGTTGCCTTGCAGTTAGGAGCTGATGCGGTGCGTTGCACATGTGCTCAGGAACAACGAAAGCTATTTGGTACCACCGTATTAAATGCAAGTGAACGCTGCCAATTCCCTGTTAATGAAAATTGATTTGTTGATGTTTTCGTGGCGTAAATACAACGTGCAGATCAAAACTGAATCCGAGCTCCGGGCTCAGAGAGACGTTTAGAAACTAGAATCATACCGATTTCACTAAATGCTTGTTTGAATCTAGCAAATGACCCAGTTCAAATCTGCGAAATGTCCGAGTGTCTACATGCCTGGGTAATGCCGACTTTGGCACGCCAAAAAAACAGTCATTCCGGTATCGATGTGCAAAAACCCCTTGGCTTGCTTTAACCCTCTACTTAGCCTCCCTTTCTTCTTTGCTGCCCTTTTTCTTACAGTTCTTGAGCACTTAACTTAAATTCGTACTAGCTTCAGGAAGCTGTCGCTTTGATTTGGGAGCAGCTGCCTCTTAGGCTGTGTTAGAGCCCCGGGTTGCTCCACAGGCTTTGAAGGACCCTAGAGGGTGACAGTTGGAACGAGATAATAGGAATATGGTGGACGCTGTTCTTCAAAATAAACACTGTTTGTTTAGGAGGTTAGTGTTGAAACAGTTAAAGCACGTGGCTAGGCTTAAGTGTTAATGTTGTTGAAAGCTAGATTAACTGACCTTAAGCACTGTCCTTCTTCTGCTGAGGAAAAAATTCTGGAGTTACGAACGCGAGCAGCGGTCTGTTTAATTTTTCCGTATTTTCTATGACCTAAACGTTTTTTTTTTCCAGCTGGCTTCGTAATGAAACCTTTCCAAACCTGTCATCCTTTTCCTCGCTGGACCTCTCGGAGGTCCCCAAAAGGTATTTTTTCCTCTTTCTGAGAGGACTCACTGAAAAGCACCGTTCCGAAGCAGGCAGGCGGCGAGTTTTCTTCGCCACGGCTCGCGTCTCTGAGGTTGCGTTGGAAACCCTCGATGACTTCACGAGACGGGTAAAGGCAGAAGCGTGCACAAACGGGTTTCCTTTTGCCTTGCAGGGTACGCCGGCGAGTCGAGTCCGATACAAAGTGGACGTCGTGCAGTTTCCGTACAGCGCCAGCATTTTTGATGTAGAGGAGAACTCGGGACGCGTGGTAACCCGGGTAAACCTAAACGAAGAGCCAAGTACGGTCTTTAAGGTATAAGTGTTATCGTGGCTGTACGTTGTGCTTTACACGTACGTTCTTCCACGCTGCTTTAAATCGCCTGGAAATCTGGTGGACTCATTTATTTTATTTTATTTTATTGCCAAGTCGGCTGTTACTGAGAGCAGCCTTGTTTATGGCAGTAGCGATGAGACGGGACAGTTGGGGGAGCTGGGAGATGGATCTGAAAGGCAAAGCAAGACTCAGCAAGACTCAGACAATGCCTTTACAGCCTTTGTACTTTTAGAAAGGTCCTGGAGGGGGTGAAGTCAAGACGGTGGCTTTGGATGCGTGTGATTGCTACTTTTATGAGGGAGGAAGAACTAGGGAGGCAGGCTGAAGAAAACACCTAGTTTTGAGAGTTATCCTGCTAATCCGTTTGTTTTCAGCAGGGCCGTCAGCGTAGCAGTCTCACGAGAACTTTATAAGAAGGGTGATAGGTTTTCGAGGTATCTTCTAAGTAACGAGAAAGCTACTGTTCAGTGTAACAGTCTGGGATTTCAGGTTCACAAATGCTGTAATGCAAAAAATGTTGGCTAAGAGGAGACCTTTTGAACATCACTGAGGTGGTGGTATTGCTCTTGGAGAGTCTCAGGTGCAACCAGTGTGCAGTAAGTTTTCATCAAAATCATTGGGACAGTTCCCCCTTTTTAAATCCCTCTGTGGAGGGGTTAATCGAAAAGTGTGCAGGGTCAGCAAGGAAAAAAAGCATATTACGTTTCGGGTTTTATGGTGTTCCTCGAAACTACCAATCTTCTGTGTAGCCGTCAAGCTCTTTTTGTTCCTTCTTGCCTTTCAGTGATTTATTTTTGAAATTAGGATTAAGGAGAGGTTTATCTGCACGTTTTTGGTTGTAAACACTTAAAAGTGTCCGCATCGCTGTTTGCCGTCTTCCAGGAGTCCTACGAAGCTGTATGATGCTTGTGACTAGTATTGCAAGCTGCCGTTGTTTTAGGAGCTTGGGACGTTGCTAATTTAAGTCTTTTTTTCAGTTTTTAATTAATATATAATCAAACTCAAAGGGGAAGAGAATCCTCTCTTGATTAACATCACAAAAGTATAGCTTCTTTGTTGTTGCGCTTCGTAGTGTTGCCTTTCCTTGTGAAAACGGCTATAAATTAGGGCAGAGCAGTGGTTTAGCTAACACAGTATTACTTTTCAGAAAATATGCGTGCTTGGGGGAAAGAGCACGGAAAAAAAGACCGAGGCAGGGAGCAGCCTTCCTCTGCTACGCCATCCCTGGCTCCGGAAATCAGTCACGTAGGGACTTGCTGGACTTTTTTTGGTGCTTGCAACTACGCTATTGTGCTTTGGGCCAGTGAATCTTCTGTGAATTTTTCCACTGTATTTTTAACAGACTCCTGCTTTTCATAATTTCCAAGACTTTTTTTTTTTTTAGTGTCTCTGTCGTTAATTTTACAAAAAAATTAACAGTTTTAAATAATAGTGTTTGTCAGCAGCCCGGAATTCCTAGCCATACTTTCTTTTTTTTTATGGTGATTTTATGGGGAATTATATGTGGGAATTATTTTCTTTTTTGCTAGAAAAGTACTCCACTGCTTAAATGTAAAACTAAACAATACCGTTAAGGAAGCTGAAATTGATTCTGGATTTACCGTGTAAGGACAGTCTGCAATTAGATGTGAAGGGGGAAAAATTGCAGGTCATGTGCTTTAAGCTGCTTGTGTGTTTTGGAAATGTATTTTACAGAAGATAGTGGCATTTGAATTGCAGCTGGCTGTGTTTTGGTAAATTTTATCGCAGGAGGTTCAGCCTGGGGTTAGCAATCACCTTTTTTCTGTATGTTTTTGTTTTTCTCATACAATGTATCTGATTCACAGTGAAAGAAAATCTCATTTGACTTGCTGTGCGAAAACTGTGTTGCAAGCCAACACAAAAATGCTCTCGCAACATACTGAGAGTGGGATTTTTCTGTGTTGTTTGTAGTTAGTCGTCGTTGCGTATGATGATGGGGATCCCGTGAAGTTCAACACCACTACCGTAGAAATTGCCGTACTGCAGCCTTCGGTGATTCCCCGGTTTACCCAGGACGAATACAGGTAAAGCGTTTATGCATTCACGTTGCGACTGTTATTTTTAAAGTTGAAATACGTTTCCATTTGAATGCTAGCCTGATGTATCTTGGTTATTAACCTGCTGTACTCTCAGTGTGAGTCCTAAATTACTGTCACGTCTAGGTATCTGTTACGTTGCAGTAATTTTTCCTGATGCAGGAATCTAGCAGCATGTTATTTCCTTTAAATTTGATTACTAAATTGCCATTTAGTTGCCAGAGGGCTTAGCCTCGTTTTCTGAGACCATGCTTTTGCAACCATATTGAGAAAATTGAAGATCGGAATTGGACGTGTTTCTGCCTGTGATAAGAAGAAAATGTCACCTGGGAGATCGGGTGGGGACGTCTGAAAAGGAGTGCTGCTCTTTCCCATCTCTGGACGAACTTGTCGGAAGAGGTTTTCCACAGGAAGACTGTACTGCTGCAGAGAAGTCTGTGCTTGTAGCATTATTATAACCTGGCTTTGTATCTTGAGGATGTGGAGTGCGCGAGTGTGTGTGTGTGTGTGTGTGTGTGTGTGTGTCCCCCCGTGTCCCCCGGTGTGAGATGCAGGGGAAAGGTAGAAGGTGAGAGGAGACGCACAGAATTAACGATCTCTCCCAGCCGTTTGTATGTCTTTGTGGATACCTCAGTTTAGGGAGATGTATTTTATCCACATGCCTCCTCCTGCACCCATGGGGAATTCACACTGCGTGTTCACTACGGTTTTTCTTTCTCTTCTGTCGGAAGACCCATTGCGCGTGCCAGGGAAGGTGGTGGTCGCCGGAGGGACCAGGGTGAGGGCAGGCAAGCTCGAACCATTTATGTCTCTCGCTGATGTGGTTCCTTTGGGGCTTTACTGGCCGGGGGAAATGCCCGTTGGCGCGGCTCTGCGACGGCGGTGCTAGCAGGAGCCAGGATGCAGAGATGAGCCTTTGGATCCAGTAACTCTACAAAATCCAAGGCAAACCTGATGTGGAAATGCTCGTTGCGTAGATAGCTCCACTTTTGTTCTTTCCCATGCTTACCTGGGCTCAAAGAGGGAAATAAGGCACAAAAATAAGGTCTCCCCAAAGCACTGAAAGCCCTAAGTGCTTATTGGTGATAATGTATTCACTGATGCTGTCTGTTCTTCAGGAACTTTGATTTGATGCTGCTCCGTGAAGAGAGCAGTCAGCTCCCAAGTCAGCGAGAAGCCAGACTCTGTAAGACTGCAGGCAAGACTACTTGGCAGTACTCCAATTTGACAAAGTCAGGGTAGCACAGTACTTCACAGTTTGTTTCTTTGTCTCAGCCTCAGCATAGGTGGCCAGCCAGCCATTTCACACCCTTACAAGATACCTCCACGTTTCCACGGTCTGAGCCGGCAGCGTCCACGGAAAAGTTTTGGGCTGTGGTGAGGAGCAGACGTTTGTTCAGAGTAGTCCTCTAAGAAGCTGTTGAAAACGTCCGTTGTGTGGATAAACGCACAAATTTTGTGCATTCACGGTGTAGCTGGGCTCATAGGGCCCTAGGTTAAATTTCTTCCGGTTTGCTTATTTGAGTATGTGTTGTTGGTGCGCGCCGTTCGCTTTGTAGGCAGTTGAGACGTTGGTTATGTTAGCCACGTGCCTGTGAGGAGGAGGGAAGGAGCAAAAGTCTTGGGGTGCAGCGTGATGCCCTGGTCCCCAGTCTCAGGCAGCCAGCCGCGACGCCGCAGACTTGTTTGCTAGTATGCTAGCCGCATACTTAGCGATGCGGCACGTCACCACCGCCTTGCTGCTCGGCAGCTGCGGAGCGCTCCCTCTTGTGGGTTTTGGGGAGGGTTTTTTGACGGAGCTGCAAGCTGAAACCGCCAGGTTTCATGCAAACTTATTTTTCAGTTGGCATAGTATATATACCTTCAGGGTAGATTTCGTCTCAGGTCAGCGGTGCTGCCTGCAAAACGACACGTTTTGGGAGGTGGGCAGCAGACTTTCTGGAGGATCCAGCGTTAGTGGCTTGGTGGCAGTCTTTGCGTGGCTATTGCTTGCGATTTGAGGGATTCCAGTATTATTTTTCCAGCTCTTTGGCAAACTTCATTTCTGTATGTTTAGAAAAGGGTCACAGCTGAGCGGTTGCACAGAGTGAGGCTGCCGGAGAAGGTTCAGCACGTACTAGAAATCAGAAGTAAGTAAATAAGTAACATTTGAAAAGAGGCGGGGGGGGAGAGGACCAGATGGCACGACCAAAAAGGCATAGCCGCGTTAGGCAGACGGGGATGAAAGTGCAACTCTGCCCCGAGCTGTTGGTTTGGCAGAGCTCAGAAGCACACCCGGGCGTTCGGGTCTCTGCTTGGGGTCCTGTTTTGACTAAGGGAGACTTGGATTATTATCCGTGTCTTAAGGTGGCTCCCACAGCAGGCAAAAGAGTCGAGCAGAGGGGAAATCGGAGATTGGCATGGGATGCCTTGGCTCTCCCGCTGCGTTACTGCATAATTTGGGGCAACGGCAAGACAAATCGCCTGCTCTGGGTGCTCCTTCCCCAAGTTGTTGTTTTTCTTGTCCGCCGGGTCTGCCCAGAAAGCGCCTCCATCGACCTCTGGATCAAGTCGTCGATCCAAAGTTTTCCATTCCCTCTAAACAGGGAACAGCAGCACTGTCATTTCCTAATTAACAGATCATAATGAGTAGCACCATGCAACAGTGAAGAGCAGATGCGAGGTGAACCTCAGATGAATGGAAAGAGGTATTTGTTTTTTGTTTTTAATTATTAGTATTTCTTTAGCAAGCCTATCCTCCTATGAGCACGTTCTGCTTTTTTTTAAAAAAAGAAGTAAAAGTTCAAAGGGACTTGGGATTTTTTTCTTGTTCTGTTAATTAATAAATATCACATCCTCTTGGCAACGAGAAGGTCATTGCTAATAGCGATGTGCTGCTGCAGCAGGAAATGAAATGTTAAGTGAAAGCGGCGTCCTGGCTTCCCAGTTATTGCCTGTGGGCACATTAAGCAGGTGTTCAGACATTTCGTAGCAGAACAAGGCAAATGCTGGAAACTTTCAGCGTTGCATTATAGGTCCCCAGTCCTGTTTGAAAATCTGCGCCCACTCGCGCGGCGGTGTAAAGCTGGGTCCTGATTTAGGAGGAAACGGGTGACGTTGAGAGCTGGAGGCTACTAGTCGCTGTAGATGTTGTAGCAGGACCAACGCGCTCCACCGTGACTGTATTCCACATAAACGAGGAGGTTCGTGACATGTGGGCCTCTTTCTCTGTTGCTCAATAAAAGGTAGGAGGTAATGTTTTCCACTTAATTAAATCCCGTCAACACCGTCCGAGTAATTGCTGTGTATCGTGATTTCGCGGAACGAAATTATGGAGGCGTATCGGGAGTCAATTGGAAGCGTTGTTCAAAGGGGCTTTTTTTTCTTTTTAGTTCTCTAGGCTGCCGTTGTTTAGTCAAACAGTAACTCTAATTGTGAAGTAGGTAACGGGGTATCCTGCGCATAGGCATTTAGGGGATGGGGAGCGTTTTCTCTGTGCAATCTCCCTAATTCGATGCCTCGTTCAAAAAGGGCTGCTTGGCACAGAACAGCATCACCAGCGTTGCGAAAATCTGAGGTCCGGCAGACGGAAATTGTTTCGTTCCCGTCGTGAGTATCCCACTAATTCATCCTCCTTTAGAGCGAGTGACAGAAAAATGTAATTGTTAAGAAAAGATGAGTTATCCCTAGGAGGGGAACCAGCGAGTCTGTACGTGCCTTTAAAAAATTGGGAGTCGTGAGATATCATCGGAAGTGAGGACCGTAGCGGCGAGTGTCCTTTGTCCAAATCAAAAGCAGGACAGGGAGAAGAAGGAAAAAAACCACAACTAGGGTATGTACACCAGGGATTTGGAGGGGAGGGAGCATTTGGGGGTTCTGAGCAACAGTGATGTTTCCAAAGCCGTTCTCTTACTGCTTCCCTTATTTGTCTTTGAAAAGTTACTTTGAGAAGAAGTAATGTGGGAAGTCATAGTTTGTTTCCTGTAAGTAAAATGGCCTTGCCCAGGAAATCTAAATAAAACTCTGCGTCAAAGTAGCAGGATATAAACCTCTGCCGTAAACGTGGTAGGTTTTTCATTGGGCTGCTCATGAGCTCTGTTTGTTTCTTTAAGCCTTTCTCTATGCCCGTTTTCTTTTTTTCCTTCCTGATTCAGCTCGCTGGCATGCCAAGTAGTGGCCAGCTCCACCCCAAGTGGGCCTTTTCCCCTTTTCTTGCAAAACGCGTGACGAGAAACCGCGTCCTCCTTGGTCCTAGAGCTGGCCGTATCCGTATCGGTCTGTCTGGCGGGTTCTAGTACGCGAGAGTCCTACGTTGTGCTCGATGGGAATTTTTCTCCCTTTTGGGTTTTGTAGCAATCCTGATGGAAGTGTTTCGGTCTCAATGTCCTTAGCTTCCATTTAGAAAGATCGGTGGGATCACGCAAAGGCGTTAACGCCCGATGACAGAGAGTTCGTGGGAATAAAATTTGACATTTAGCTTCAGAGATAACGGGTTGTGACAAGGGCTCGCCGTAACGACGTCTAAACTCCCTTGCCCTGTGTTTTGGAGGTAAATACCACGAAAAGGTCAGAGCGCCTTGAGCTGATCCAGAGGATTGAGACAGAAAGTGAGGAGGAAAGTACAGTAAGGGATACATGATACTTCTCAGCAGGCATTGAAGACAAACTGCTTGGGAAACACCTTTTTAATTTAGAAGAAAGTGTTCATTTCCGGGAAAAAAAAATGAGTCACTGCGTCGTCGTGCCTAACTCTGTCCAGGCAATGTTGTCGTGATGCGTGCTGGAAGCTGGACGTTTGAGAACCTACTCAGTTTTTGCTCTAAAACGTCATTAGCTCCATCTTTCTTTTATTTGGTAAGCACAGGGAAGCCAAGGTAGAGACGAGAAAAGTTAAGCAGCTGTCGTCACGATGTTTAGTTTTTGCTTTCTTCTGTACCTGACTGAGCGGAGAAGCTCTAGTGTTCTGTTTACGACTGACCTTTCTCCAGAAAAATACATAAATTCAAAGTTGTTTTTTTTTTTTAAGTGATTTACAGAACTACTTTTTAATGCAAAACATCAGACAGACAAAAAAGCCAAAGAAACCACTTCCCGTGAGGAGCAGGAGGAAAAGAGTCCATGCAGAAACAGGTATGGTGCTCATAGAGCTATTTTAGATAGAGAGGAAATGGCCTAAGGTACGATGCCGTTGAGGCTTAGAAGTGGCTAAGGCCAAAACATTTCAGGAAGCTGTAATGTGAGAGCAGAGATGCCTTTAGGTGGGGAGGGCTTAAATAACATTTTATACAAGTTTAGCTAAGAATCTCAGTAATGTAATTAAAAATATAGCTATAATCTGCAAAATACAGTAGACTAGAGGGTGTAATAATACGGAGTACATAGGCATCCCACGATTAAACCAGTTTTCCAATTCATTATTGCTTTTGCTGGTTTTAAATTTAATTTTCGATTGAATCTCACATTGGTACTTTTGGAGATAGAAAAATTTCATGGTGAATTTAAAGCATATTGGATAATGGACAAATGGAAAGATGGATGAGAGGCTTAGAGTGTGTAGCAGAGGAAAAAAGAGGCAGAAAAGAAGAAAGAGAGGAAAAGTTAGAATTTCACGTGGAGGATGAAAAATGTGATACATGTTCTGTCTCCATGTGCCCCTCTGATGAAGATAATAATGTTGAAATAGCAAATTATAGGATAACAACAGCCTTTTGCGGTTTGGTCTCCCTTTTCAGCATTTTTTTCTGTGTAGATGTTGACTTTGTTTTCATACTGGTTTTCTTCTTTTTTTTTTTTTTTTTTTTTAATAAATGAGGGGCAAACACGTTTTCTGGCAGAGTTTTACAATTTTTAAGCGGTTTCGCCGTGAAATAGATGCATCAAAGAGAGAAACACACAGGCACGTCTTAAACTCGTGCACGGGTAACTAAGTCAGACGAGTCGGAGGGAAGACGTACCGAGCAGCTCATCCGCCTTGGAGAGCGCCGCCTTGCCAGGGGCCGACTCCCGGGTGCCGGCTTAAATTCCTCCTCGCTGGAGAAAAAATTCAATTCCTCCTCAGAGAGAAAAACACGGCGTGGGCGAACGAGATGATTTGGGCGTAGGGACGTGTTTAGAGGTCGTCGCGCGAAGTCTCGCGTTGACGCCCCGGGCCCTGTTGTGCTCGGTGACGGCACGCACGGGGACGCACACGCGCGCCAGCGTTAGGAAGCCGGGGGATGTTAGGAAGCCCGTGTCTGAACGCCTTCGCCTCCGGCCCGTTCGCTTGCCGGCGCTTCAGCGGGACCGTCAGGTTTTCGTTCAGCCGGCGCCTGGCTCCCTTTGAACGTGGGAGATGAGATCCACGCCGTCGCCGTGGCGGTTTTCTGCCCGCTCCCCCTGCCACCCCCCCGGTCGAACACAAAAGCAGCTTCCTAACTGCTGCTGATTTTGCCGGTTCCTTGAATTCAGCTGTGCCAGAGGGGAGGTTATGAGACCGTTCCCAGCAAGAGACTGTCCCGAAAGCGTGCCTCGGGTGAGACGGGGGGGCGTGTGCGTGCGCGGCCTTTGCGCTAAGAAATCAGCCTTTGCGTTTGGAAAAAGGCACCCCGGTAGGTGTTACGCAGCCCTGGTTTTGCAGCTTACTCTAAAGCAGGTCAGCAAGAAGGAGTTTTATTTCTCCTGCTGCGAAGCGCGTTTGAGTAAAAGCGAGTTTTATTGGCACAACGCGGGGCATGGGGCCACTGAGAAGAGATGATACCCATTGCGCTGAGCGGGATAACAGGGTCGGTTTTGTTCTTGGATTTCTTTTTCTTGAAGAAGATCTAAGGCCCCAGCACTGAGCAAAATAAACCGAGCAAAGAGAAAGACGTTGCGTCAGTACGGGTGGTGGGGAGCACGTCGCAGCCCTATGGGCCGCGGGCTTGGTTTGCCCTCGGCGTCCTTTTTATAGCTGCTGGGATCTGGGGTATGAGCGGTCAAGCGCAGAAACGTGACCCGAGCTAGGCTTTGCGAGGAAGCCGGCAGTGCGGTCCTGCAGCTGGAGTTCACGCGAGCGAATAAGAGAAGTTTAACCCTTAGGCTGAAGGCAGCAGTCTGAGGTTCAGAGGTCAGGATGGAGGTGGTCTTATTTAGGAGCCTGTTTTAACATGTCTTTATTTACGTGGTTTTGGGTTTTTTAAGTATACTGACTAACTGTAATTTTCTAAAGGGGGAAAATCTCCGGACAGTGTTAGTTGTCATCCATCTGCCTTTGTGGGTGAGCGCAGACGTTTGCTCGCGTAAGCGGATGCGTTCGCCAGCGTGAATGCTGCCTTTCCTTGCAGCGGGGCGAAGCTGGACGTCAGAGCTGGGGCTAGCTCTGGAGCCTCGCTTCTCGTCAGGATTGCGGTTTGCAGTGCGTTAGCGCGGATTCGTTAGCCGAAAGCCTGGGGCGCGCTGCTTATCCCCTTTCTTTTGCTGGTGAAGGCCCCCTTTCAGCATTTGTCGTTTGTTGCTGAAAAGTCCCTGAATGTCTTCTGCTGAAATTAGACGGGTGGGGGAAAGGACAAGAGAAGCAATCCGTAGGTTTTCACTCTGCTTTTCTTTTCAGTAAGCTTCTGCGTGCCTCTGAAGCGCAGGAGACGCGGAGCAAAGTAATTCTTTGCTGAGTTTCCGGAGAAAACTCACTACTTACTCATGGTGACGTTATGCCTGAGTTTGAGATGCTCAGTTTTAAGTGTTTGGAGGACGTGAAGAGCACAAGGTACAGATCAGTCAGTAGCGTAATTTTTTTTTTTTTTTTAGTAGAGGTGAGTTAGGAGCTGCTAGGCTCTAAATTTTACTTGGGGTTTATCAGTCAATGGTGGTTCTTGTGCTATTGTTATTTTCTACTTATTATCCTCTGCTTTTCCATTTCTCTTATCTAAGGGCCATCGTATCCCGTTGCCTAAGGACTGTTGTCACCTCTCTTCTGTTAGACAGTTTGAGGTTTTCTGCGTTTTCAGACGGCGAAGGTTAAGCCTTTACCTTTTTAACACGTCTTTCCTTGATGACAGACACGATAGATGGCTGGAACCGCTGATCTGCGGAAGGAGTTTATCAGTTCTCTGCCGGTAAGGCAAGTGGGAGATAACAAAAGTCCTTTTGTTCAATTCTGCAGACCCCCGCCGGTGAGCGAGAGCGCTCCAAGAGGAACTGCGGTCGCTGTAGTCATCGCAGCTGCCCTGAACCAGACAATTGTGTATTCAATAGTTTCAGGAAACGAAGAGGGTGAGTACCAATACGTCAGTCGGACTGATTATGCCGAGCGTAGTGCGTGCCTCAGAAGTTTTCAAGAGATGCTAATGAGAAATAAAGCTTCTGAGATAAAATCCCACCTCATCTATCCAAGCAGTAAGGACTGTCTTGATGCTGTCAACCTGTCTGATCTGCGTCTTCTCCACTGGGGGTAATGTGTTCCCTGACGCAAGCCTGCCACCTCTAGCACCCAAATGGTGAAAAGCACGCGTATGGCCGCTTCTTTCAAGCCGTGCCCTTGAAACAAGGAATAGCTAAACTTGCCCTAGGTGAGAGCAGAGGGGCAGTTTCAAGGGGGGATGTGGTGGCTTGAGTTATTGCAGATGCGGCTGAAGAAACTTGGGGGCATGCTTGTTGCTGGCCGTTCCCAGGACCTAGCTGAATTCATTCCCTTCCTCCATCTGGTTAGCAGAACATGACGAGAAGTAACGGCTTGCTGAGATGCAGGCGTTTGCGTCTCCTTTCTCCGTGCTGGTGTTGGAACTGTTTTAAGGAGAGCACTACGTGACACGAGTCTGTACTGAAATGAGTCTGTAAATGGCTCTGGTGTTGCACTGGTTGCCAAGAAATCTAGTTTAAGTCATTCAAGACTTTTCCCAGCCGGTGGCCACAAGTGTTATATTACAGGTGCTGATGATTCAAGTTGGCATTTCTTCAAAATGAAACGTCTTTCCTACCACTCACGTCTTTCTCAGGCCTTTGCCGTGATGTACCTTGGCATCCCTAACCAAAATTGCACCGAGTTGTTTGGAGGGAAGCGGAAGGACTCACCAGCCCGCTCCCCTCGTTGAGGGGGTGGGCCGTGGGTCTCGTCTGCTCTCGCCAGGATCTCCCCAAGCTGATTTTTCCAGCACCAGACTCGGGCTCAGCTGCCGGGTTGATTTGAAGACAACATCAGAGAGGAAATAGATGGACTTGAGATGCCTGAGGGCGTGCTGGCATGAATTCCTGAAGGCAGGGTCAGAGAACAGCATCCTCACCAACACAGAAACTCTTAGCCGTTTAAAATAAAAATTAAAAAAAAAAAGGAAAAAAGTTGATGCGTCTTAGAAAGTTTTTTTTTTTCTTTGCTGGATTTCAGATGTGTTTGCTATTAACAACAGAACGGGAGTGATCTCTGTTAAAAAGCCTCTGGACTACGAAAGCGTGAGCAGTTACGAGCTTCGAGTTCAAGCAGACTCGTTGCAAGTGGTGCGATCCAATCTGCGTGTCCCTTCCAAAAGTAAGTTTAAAAGTAAGCTCAAAAATCCGTAGTTTTGCGTCTCTTCTTAATGCGCTTTTTTTTTTTAAGGATATATTTTGAGGATAACTGCGCTCCAGTTAATGTCCTTGTTATGTTGTCAGAAATACAAAAGTAATGATGGTGCATAAACTGCAAGAGGATGCATTCGTGGACCTCTAATGAGGTAGCCCTCCACACACGGAGCTGACCGATCTAGGGCTAAATCCTCGCGAATTGCGTCCACGTTACATAGTTGTAGAACTCACTGTTGCGGATTAAAATTACGTTGACGAAGAAACAGGGTTGATCACACAAATCTAACGTTTTTGATGGAATTAGAGAACTTCACAAAGCCTCATTTACTTTTTTGTAAATAGATGACACGACCCCAATGCAAGCTCTTCCTCCCTTCCGAGCCGATAAGTTGGGTGCGTTCGGATTGGGAAACTGTAAAAGTTCAGAAGCTCGTTCCCTGCTCCACCCTGAAAAGAAGGGATTTTTTTTTTTGCAATACTTCCAGGCAGAAAAGAGCTTGCTTTACAAATCCTTTTTTATTTTGGTTCTGTCTCATGGTGAGGGATTGTTCCTCCCCCTTGAGGGTGTCGTTTTTCTAATAAAATCTAGCCTTTGAGTTGGAAGGCTTTTTTTGCCAATTTTATCACAGACTGTAATGAAAAGATCTAGGCAGTCTGGCCTTCAAACCTCTGCTTACTTAAAGTCCCGGCCCAGTCTTGTGCAACTTCCCGCTTAATCCAGAGCTGAGGCTACAGTGGGAAAAAAAATAACATGCACTTTGCATGAAAGAAAAGTAGTTTAATATTAGTAGTTTAATAGGTTATTGCACAGACGATATTGCTGTCTTGAATTTTCTCCTTTTTTTTTTTTTTGCTCTACGTTTGTCTCAGTTTTTCCCTGCTGCAGCTAAGGAGCATCATAGGCTCAAATAGCAAAAACTGTTGCACTGAGAAGCTTGGCAGTGAGGAACTAGACATTTATTTAAAGGCTGTGAAAATGTTAAATGTTTTTTTTCCCCGCAAAGCGAACGTGCGTTTATTTGAAGTCCTATGTTCTGCAGTCCCAGTTATCCCAGTAGGAACCAGCGGCTGGATCTGGTGCGGGTGGCTGGGGCTGCTGCTGCCTCCTCTGCACTTCCACCCTGGGTTTAATCCAGTGTTTAAACACAGAGCCGGTACTGAGCGCTGGAAAAAGCAAGCTCCTCTGACCAAAAGTGCTGCCCCCTCCCTTTTTTTTTCTTTTGGGGGATACTTGATAGTGGCTGGTATGTAAATTTGGTCCAGTTTTTAAAAAGATGCACTTAAACTACACTTCTATCCCTCTGGGCATTTTTTACCCTGAGAAAAACAGGCTTTTTTTCTCCCTCTGCCTTCCTGTTTACTCTACTGAAGAAATACCGTAATGGAGAGAAAAAATGACAGCAGATTAAATCAGTTGTGCCTAATCAGTTTGTAATGCATTATTTTATTATAGACTATTTATTATCTGACAACAAGTATTATGGTAGAGAGAAAGACATGAAGTGCACCTAAACTGCTAAACGTGATATTGGAATAATAACATGCAATGAGGAATTTGAGATGCCTCATCATAGGATAATAAATTGCCTTAAACCAGTTAAAATAGCTCTTAAATTTATTGAACAGAAACGCCATAAACTGAAAACAGACAAGTTTAAAACAGAAAAAATTGACCTAGAAAAGAGGGCATTGGGTTAGGAGTACTCCTCCTGAGTTTCTTCTGGGCTCGCGATGCCCATTTACAAAGCGGAGATCTTTAAACAGAAGAAAAAATGCATTAGTGCTGATGCTCTTCTTTGCTAATGGTCGTAAAGAGATGGCAGTAATAGAAATCTTGTGGACGTGGCACTTCTCCTGTGACCCAGGAGATTCAAGTAACGGCTGAAGGTGAGTCAGCCTTCAACTAAAGGAGCGGAGAAACGTCCCGTGTCCCCTACCCGCCCCCAACTTCATTTTATATGAGAGATCTTAAAAAGAAAAAATCCACCCTGGGAAGGACCTTGGCCCCGTACACATCCCTAATTCAGTTCTGCCAGAGCCTACGAGCTTTTCATGGCGCCTCTCGTCTTCCCTCTGTTTTGGGGGAGAAATTTCCTTCCCTGGTGAAAACATGGTCTCCCTGGAATATTCACGTCTCTCCTTTTACCAAGGCATCGAGTACAC